ATTATTATCCCCGGAAAGCGATCCGCCAATCAACTAACAACTGGGTTCCTACTTACGGCTGGGTAAACAGAAGTGTGTGCAATAAGGAATCTTGGCTGAAGTTTTGCCCCGTCTGGGTATCGAACCCGGGCCCTCTCGCTTCCAAGGTGAGTGCGCTATGGGATCTCAATTTATCTTACATGAAAGGCACAATATAAACACAACTTATTATTATTAAAATATATTTTTGTATTATTAACGAGGAGGCAGTGTAGCGGAGAATGTGACTGAGTGTAACAAACAGGTACAAGAGACTGATAAAAAATCCACTTTCTGTTGCTTTATTTGAAATATTTTAAAGTAAACATATAAGAAGGCACAAAGGCCGATGCAGATTAAATAGAGGTGATGGCTTGTGTGTGTGGGGAGGGGGAGAATCCCTGATAACATGTAGATCTACTCTGAGCAAACTACACCTGTTACCTTGCAAAACGTCTGTCTCTAACGCTACTTACTGTACACAGTTATCAAAAAGTACAAATGTCTGTATATATTGTTGTATCAAAAAAAATCGGAATAAAGAGGTGAACAGAGCTGAATTCCGTAAGATAAATAGTTTTAAATTATTTTAACGGTTTATCAGTAAATAATAAGAGCGAAATTCTGGCTCAAAAGAATCAAAACATTTAAAGGGTCAACTCCAGGCTCCAAACCAAACAACATGTACAGTATCTGATACACAGAACTCACTCCCATTCATCCAGCTCCCATCTTCCAACTCAATTTTCATAACTTCACCTTAACATTAAACGTACAAACATTTCAAAGCAGGTAATGCAGGCTGGAGAGCGATAGATACCAAGTGTCACTGAGGGAGTGTTGTGTGTGTCTGTGTGCTGCCTCAGGTTTGAAGTGAAGAGGTTCACCTTTAAGTATAATATAACACCGATCACGTGAACGCAACTGCATAAGGTAGTATAGCACTTAAATAGAGAGTTCACGGGAATATTTTAGTCAATATGACTACAATTAAATATAAATCTCCAAAGTAATTTATAAAATTGAGTAATATGGGAGATACATTTTTTTCTTAAAAGGAAATCAATCTTATAAAATTTAAGTAAGATACAGTACAGTGGTCATTTAAGTAGGGAAAATACACCAGTTCTGTCGTTTCATATCTTTTATCAAACACTTCCGTTTGGTCCTCCTGTGAATTACTTGAGTGCCATCCAACTGGCAGCAGAGTGAAGTGCGAGTTTGCCCCAGTTCATGGCCAGCGTTAGCTGCCCATAAGCCTTGGGAACAATGGCACGGGCTTGGGTTCACTTAGAGAATACATTCTACACTGTCTGCTTAATGGGAGCAAATGAAGATAAGGAAACATGACGGGTAATAATAATAAAAATCCTTGCATTTGATATAGCGCCTTATCGCATCTTCGAGATGTCTAAAAAGCGCTTCACAGGATACACTGTAAAGTGAATTGACTCTATATTTGTGGGCGAAACATGGCAGCCAATTGCAGCGTCCCACACCCACAAACAGTCGTGGCCTAGGTGACCAAATTATTATTATTATTGTTTTTTGAAGGGATTATTACCCCCGGAAAAGCGATCCGCAGGTAGAGGGAAAGCAACAGAGGTTCCTAATAAGAGACTGTGGCTTTGTTCTAAAGTAACTGACAGCAGGGTAGGGTGCCCATTGCCCTTTGTAACCAACTCTTTTTTTACACACCCGGAAATTAAAATGGAAACAAAGCGACTCCAAAGGACAAACCAATGCACATCTTTTAGCAGGTGAACAAGTGAGCTAATACCACACTGGACTTCCCCGGCTGTTTGACTGCTGGGCGATCACAACTGATCACATCCTCACTCAATGCATGGTAAGAGACCTGCCTTACATGCTCTGCTACCCACGCGCTGCATTCAGTAGCCAGCTTCACTGCTTTTCTAGCTCAGCTCCACACCTCTATCTCTAATGGACACAAAAACCTTGCACAGATCAAACAGACATCTCACAATCTTTAATTCAGCTCATACCACAAAAATGATACCATCCTAATAAAACCCTTTGCTTGAGAGGCAGGGGTAGAAATTGTGCATGACTCCTTTTTTTAAAAAAAAACGGTCATTTGGGCAACATTATTTGGCTACCACGCGTAATTTTTGGTAGCCTTGGCCATAGGTAGTACCTTGATTATGGTTTGCTAATGTTAAAAAATACTAGACAGCAGTCATTTCTAGATCTGTGCTTCTAAATATCTATCAATTTAATTCTACTCTTCCATGATTTCAGTGTTTTTCCTTGCGTTTTGGTGATTAATGCAAATGAGATATGGTGCCCCAGTCAGTAGTCTATGTAATAATTAATTTCTGTCAGTCATGACTGAACGCTTGTAGATGGTTTGTTTATAATAATCCTTGCATTTGATGTAGCACCTTATCACAACTTTGAGATATCTCAAAACGCTTCACAGAATATACTATAAAGTGAATTGACTGTATACTTTGTGGGCGAAACGCAGCAGCCAATTGGGCACAGCAGCGTCCCACAAACAGTGGTGGATTTAAGTGACTAAATTATTATTATTTTTTAAAATGTATTTATTGGTTTGAAGGGATTATTTCCCCTGGAAAAGGATCCGCCAATCAGGTTCCTACTTACTGCTGGTAATCAGAGGCGTGTGGAGTGAGGAAACTTGCCCAAGGTTTTGTCTTTCCCGGGAATCAGACCCCGATCCTCTCGCTTGCGAGGCGAGTGCTCTAACCACTGAGCTACAGGACTCCACTGTCTTGGTGTATCGTGTGGGGAGTGGAGGGGGCAGGAGCGGTAGCTGTGCTGAACTACATCATGCAGCATCAGCTCCTGACAACGGATTCCCTGGTGATAAAATCAATCACCTTTAAGATCCATGGAGTTGGCAGTGATGGAGGGGGCAGGGGGAGTGAGGAGAAACAAAGGGGGAACTCATGGGAAGGTGCCCAGGTTTGTCCTCCTCTGTGATTCCGATCGCAGCCAAATACCTCTCCAGTCACCAGCAAGGTTTGCACATGTGTAGTGACCGGTCTGGCAGGTACACATTGCAACCCACCCTGTGGAACCACATCCAGACAGAAGGAGAAAAAAGCAAATGGATTTCAGAGTGGGAGACAGTACTTACGGCCAAGGGTTAAAATAATAATAATCGTTGCAATTGATATACCGCCTTATCACGTCTTCGAGACGTCTCAAAGCGCTTCACAGAATATACTGTATAGTGAATTGACATATTTTGTGGGTGAAACATGGCAGCCAATTGCACACAGCAGTAAAGTATTAATTAGGGGTCCTGGTCTCATCGACACTCAGTTCTCTATGTAGTAGTTCACACGAGGGCATCAGGGTGTGGATGGGAAATGGTCCCATGCAGTCAAACAGTCCGCCCACGCTCACTCGGATGGTGTCTCGAAGGGCTCACACACCAGTGGAAGGTAAAAAAGGAGAGTCAATTGTTTTCAGGACATGACTTGTAAAGGAGAAGTGCATTATAGCTGCACTTCTGTGTATGACTTTATCACATACATGTAACTGATGCAATTTATAGTCAGGAATTTATAGTGCTGGAATTCCACAAATGTGACACAAAAAGGGGAATAAATTATCACCTCGGTTTGACAGTAATTGACGGGAGTTTGCTTGTCCCTAGACTAGTGATCTAGTTCTGTGTAAAATGGAGAGAGCCAAGGTCAGGAAGCAGAGATAGACCAGAGATCACGGCTGCCTTGTCACCAGGGCAGATGAGGGAGAGAAAGAGAGAGAGAGAGACAGGGAGAGGAAAGGAAAATTTACAACCAAAGGTGACAATAAGAGGAGGAAATGGTGAACCTCCAAAGGCTGTTTGAGCCAGCCATTGCGAAAGCAATGTCACGAACAGGGAAGGTGTAGATCTCACACACAGGGGGTCTTTACAGTATATTCTGTGAAGAACTTTTGAGCTGTCTTGACGACGTGATAAGGCGCTATATCAAATATCAAGCAAGCAAGGACAGCGAGGATCGTAGAGCAAGCTGCGAGCTGCTTCCCCCAACACACAGGCACACATGCATTCTCTCTCTGTCTCTCTCTTATGCTCTAAATGAACAAAATAATAATAATAATCCTTGCCTCACGATGTCTCAAAGCGCTTCACAGAATACTGGGAGGGGAAGGAATTCTTTACTGTACATTAAGCAAATAACTGATGAAAATACTGTTGATCATGAAAGGTTCATTTTCTGATCATCAAATGGATCATTCTGGTTCATTTCATTTTTTTGTGCTATTAGCATTGCCCTGAAATTAATCTGAATGGGAATTTCAGTTGCTGTTTGCTCTGTTTTACCCACTGGGGGTCTTTGTGAAACTACTCGCAATGTCGGGGCAGCATGATTTTTCAAAATTGACAACAACTTACAGACTCTTATTGTGCCAATGGCAAAACCTCACTAAATGTTCAACTTGATAAAAGCATATGGAGGCAGACAATAACTTTCAATAATTTAATGTGCTGAAAAGACATGACTCTCAAACTCCAAATCCCTAACTCTGATCTAGTGAGGCCCAGGGAGCAGGTTTCTATCTCTGAGCGAGAATAATAATCCTTGCATTTGATATAGCGCCTTATCATGTCTTTGAGACTTTTCAAAACGCTTCACAGAATATACTGTAAAGTGGATTGACTGCAATTTTGTGGGCGAAACGCGGCAGCCAATTGTGCCCAGCAGCGTCCCACAAACAGTCGTGGATTGAGTGACCACATTATTTTTTATTTATTTTGAAGGGATTATTATCCCTGGAAAAGCGATACACCAATCGACTAACAACCAGGTCACTACTTATTGATAGGTAAACAGTGGGGTGTGGAGTAAGGAAATTTGTCTTACCCAGGAATCAAACCCAGTTCCTCTCAGTTTGTGAGGCGAGTGCTCTAAACACTGAGCTACAGGACTCCACAAAAGCCCTCAAGTTAAACGTGTGGCTGAGGGGACCTGGAAGCCGGTTGGCGAGCTCACAGTGAGAGACTGTGGGTCACTGGGACCTCAGAGTAACTCATTACAAACCTTGTTCAGACGGGAAGACCCAGGAAGTGTCGCCTGGTTTGCTTTCCCTGTGCATTGGGTTGTCCCAAACCAATACTTAACAGCTTTGACACAAGGACAGTTCCTTTCGTTTAACAAAACATACAGGAGGGTTTGATCCTGCACTGGCTTTGCTCTGGTGGTGATTCGAGGGCTGGGAGAGTGAGTGCCTCGGCCACTGATTTTCAACGAGTACCACTTGTTGCTTAAAAATAAAGTTACCGTCTTATGACTCCATGAAGGCCGGCAGCCTCCCGGGGCTCCGCGCAGCCACTCGGGGATGAAGGAGGATTAAAAAGATTCTCTTCTACTCCGCGTGCTGCAGTCATTGCTCCGCTCCTCCGTTCTGCTGGGACATTATAAACCGCATCCCGTGAGTCCGCACGTGAGCGCTCAATGCTGTCTCAGTGTCAAATTCTCCTTTGCAGACTCGACACTGCAGCCCAGAGCCCACCTCCTCCTCCTCCTTGTCGTCCTCCTCTGTAGTGTTGGGCTGCCCATTGTGTTCTTCCTGCCCGTTTTCATTCACCAAATCGGGTTCCGGCTTCTCCTCCGTCTCCTTGATTTTGTGGACGATATATAGATGCCTGTTGAGGGAGAGGGCCGAGGTGTAGCACAGGCCGCACTGCGGACACTGAAAGGTGCTGCCGTCTGTCTTGTGCTGAGCTATGTGCCCCAGGAAGGTTGCGTTGTCCTCGGTTTCGTAGCCACATTTGGAGCATCTGTGCTGCTTAGACACAGCGACCTTCAGCTTCTTGGGAGTCGTGGCCTCACAGTCAGAGCTGGCTGGCTCGTCCCCCTCAGACTCGATTGGCACCCGTTTGACGGTTAAACTCTGCAGGCAAGAAAGAGAAGGCAATCAGCTGCCGGAATCACTCAAATAAGGTCATCGAGAAAATAAAGGTAAATAATTAGCAGAATTGTTTTGTTAAACACGGTGGGTGTAAAGGCATGAAACACTACACCAAACCCTGCTGGTAAAAGCAGAAGCCAAAACATTTCAAAGGCACCTGAAACACTAAAACAGGCCATTCAGCCTCTCGAGTCTATTCCGCCATTCTATAAGATCATGGCTGCTCTGTACCTCAACTCCAATTACCCACCTTTTCCCCATATAATTTGATACCCTGATCTAACAAAAAAAAGAGGATGTTCCAAGGTGCTGGGCAGTCAAAGTTTTGCAGCTGAGCTAGGAATCAAGAGGTGGGAGCTAAGGCGGATTGTTGAGGAATGATGACGGAAGACCCAGTCAAAGAGGAAGGTGCTTACCTCTGTTGAGTCTCCGCCTATGGCAACAGCTTTGGGCATCTGGCTGAAGTCTGGGTTCCTGATGCCGTGCATTAAGTTGATGTGTTTCTCCAGCAGGAAACGCTTGGCGAAAAAGTGCTTTTCATCCGTGCAGTACCTGAAAATAATCCCAGAAAAGTCAGTGCCACTAATCATAGAATATTACCGCAAAGAAGGAGGCCATTCGGCCCATCGTGCCTGTACCGGCTCTTTGGAAGAGCGACCCAATCAGTCCCACTCCTCCGCTCTTTCCCCAAATCCTTGCAATTTTTTCCTTTTCAAGTTCCTATCCAATTCCATTTTGAAAGCTGGTATTGAATCTGTCTCCACCCTTTCAGGCAGCGCATTCCAGATAGTGACCATTCTCTGAGTAAAAAATGTTTTCCTTCCCTCGCCTCTGGTTCTTTTTCCAATTATCTTGAATCTATGTCCCCGGTTACTGACCCACCGGCCAGAGGAAACAGTTTCCCCCGATCTACTCTATCAAAACGCTTGAACTGTGTAATTTCTGTAAAGAGCCCCTGTGACATAAACTCAATTATCTGCTGGAAGTTAATTCCCTCCCTCCCACACCCCCACAGGTCACTCCAACTCACACATGGCAGCTTCACTCAGATGCACAAATAATCCTGTCATTTAATACAGACTGGTCTAACCTCAGAACATCACAGGCGTTTCACAGCAAATTGTTATCAAGTGCAGTGACTGTGTATTTGTAGGCAAAAGTGGCAGCCAATTGGTGCACAGCAGTATCCCACAGACAGCCATGAAGTTATTAAGACAAATTTAGCTGGAGGGTTGCTGGTCAGGAAGCTGGGAGAAACTCCCTTCTCTTTTCACTTCGTGTCACAGGACCTTTAACGACCATCTGAACAGGCAGATGTCCCACCTGAAGATGGCGCCTCTCACCACTGTAGTGTCAGCCTGGGCTGTGAGCTCAAAGTACTAATTAATGTACGGCTTGAACCCAAACCTTCTGACCCAGAGGCAAGAGTGCTACCGACTGAGCCAGGCTAACCTACAGAAGATCAATTTCCCGCAGGAACCAACTGATACTATGGTTGCTTCTTCCAGGCAGGAGAATGTTCAAGAGATAATAATAAAATAATGATCCTTGCATTTACAGTCAATTCACTTTACAGTGTGTTCTGTGAAGCGCTTTGGGACGTCCTCCCGACCTGAAAAGCGCTATATCAAATGCAAGGATTATTATTATTATTATTATTATTAGATATAGCACCTTTTCACGCCTTCGAGGTTTCTCAAGGCGCTTCTCAAGATACATAGTGAACTGACTGCATATTTTGTGGGCGAAACACGGCAGCCATTTGCGCACTGCAGTGTCCCACAACAGTTGTAGATTGAGTGACCATTTTTTACATTTTTGTTTTAAGGGATTATTACCCCCGGAAAATTAACAACTAACAACCGCGTTCCTACTTACAGCTGGTAAACAGGGCTTCTGGAGTAAGAAAACTTGCCTAAGGTTTCGTCCTGTCCAGGAATTGAACCCGGGATGGTGTGAATGAGATGAATGAGGTGAATGAGAAAGGATTGTGTGGGCACATTATTATACAGAGGTCATATATATAGTGCTACCAACTGAGCCAGGCTGATATCAGGTTCAGCAGCTGTGGATTACCAGGAAAAGCCTCCACATCTATAAGTACGCACGTCTGAGGTCCCTCAAACCAACACAGTCTAAAACAAATAAATAATGAACACACCACCCACGCACAGACTGCCTGCAGACCAGATGGAGCTCACGCTATGTGGAGCATTACCCAATGCACTGAAAAAACATGCACTCAAACTGTGTAAAAAAAGATATGTGGCTTTCAGTTTACTTTCAATAAATGGGCAGAGCTGAGTTTTAAGGCTGATTTCTACCGCACCTGTTGCCGGAACCATTAAACTGCCCCAGTTCCCCTCTCCCCAGGGAGAAGGACTAGCGATCTACTCTCTCCCCCACCCCCTCCCCCCACCCCCAACACAGCCCAGGCATGTACAATCCAGCCAACACACTGAGTGCACATATGTGAGATGTCAACGCATGACGTACCATGTGCAAAAATGCAAACTGGTTGAACCCAGGGCTTGTACATGTGTTATTTTTGTGAATCTTTGCAAATTCTGTTTTATTTGGCACTGACTAACGGAATACCATGGAAGCACCCCTGCTGGTATCAGCGAGCACAGGCCATTTCACACCCAGCACAACCCGGCTCTGCGATTTCCTGCAGAACTCTTTTATCATATAACTTTACTTTATACATATTTATTTGTTATATAATTTTTAATATAAATTTACTTTACAGTATATTCTGTGAAGCTCTTCGTGGCGTCTAGAAGATGTGATAAAGCACTATATCAAATGAAGGATTATTATTATTATAACATTTTAGGAAACTGTCGAAAAACAAATGAACATTAAAATAAGCCATCTCACAGAGTAAAATGTTCACTTTTCGTAATGTTGACTTTCCTAACACTTTCCATAACACCCCCTCAATAGACATTTCAGGCCACTGGGTAAACAGCTGCTTGCACCTGGTTCCAATGCAGAATGTTCCAAGTTTAATAAGAATCATCTTCCTGAATTGCAAGTTGTAATGTATAGTTCGCACTCCAAAATTCTGTGGGTTGCACTAAAATGCAGGCTCCAGTGAACATTTTACCAAGGGCTCTGGTCAATATTCATCAGCGTATTTCATAGAATAGAATGATAGAACCTTACAGCACAGAAGGAGGCCATTTGGCCCATCGTGCCTTTGCCGGCTCTTTGGAAGAGCTACCAACTAGTCTCACTCCCCCCTCGCTCTTACCCCGTAGTCCTGCACACTTTTCCTTTTTAATCCAATTCCCTTTTGAAAGTGATTATCGAATCTGCTTCCAACACCATTTCAGACATGAAAAGCGCTATATCAAATGAACATAAGAACATAAGAATTAGGAGCAAGAGTAGACCATTCGGCCCCTCGAGCTGGCCCGCCATTCAATAAGATAATGGCTGATTTTCAGACCTAACTCTAATGGGGATATCCCCATATCCCCCAATATTTTAAAAAATCTATCAGTCTCAGCCTTGAAGACTGAGCATCTACAGCCTTCTGGGGGAGTGAATTCACTCACTACCCTCTGAGTGAAGAAATGTTTCCTCAACTCTGTCCTAAAAGGCTGACCCTTAATTTTAAGACTGTGACCCCTGGTTATGGATTCTCATACCGGGGGAAAAAGACCCTCAGTGACTACTTTATCAGCCCTTTAAGAATCTTATATGTTTCAATAAAATCCCCTCTAATTCTTCTGTACTCTAGAGAATACAGCCCTGGTTTATTCAGCCTATCCTCATAGGTCAGTCCCCTCATCCCAGGAACTAACCGAGTGAATCTACGCTGCACCCCCTCGAGGGCAAATATGTCCTTTTTTAAATAAGGACCAAAACTGCACACAATACTCTCGGTGCGGTCTCACCAAAGCCCTATACAGTTGCAGCAAGACTTCCCTACTCTTATATTCTAAACCTTTTGCAATGAACGCTAACATGCCGGTCGCCTTCTTAGTTGCTGCTGCACCTGCAAACTAACCTTTTGAGACTGGTGTACAAGGACACCCAAACCCTCTGAACACTAACAAATCTTTCCCCCTCTAGAAAATAATCTGTTTTTCTATTTTTTCTACCTCGGTGAATAACTTCACACATTAAATTCCATCTGCCACCTTCTCGCCCACTCCCCTCGCCATCTATATCCCGTTGCAATTTTTTTGCATCATCCTCAGAGCTTACTCTCCCACGTAGTTTAGTGTCATCCGCGAATTTAGATATGTTACATTCAATGTCCTCGGCGGGATCATTGATGTAAATAGCTGAGGCCCAGCACTGATCCTTGTGGCACTCCACTAGTCACATCTCCTGCCAATTCGAGAATGACCCATTTATCCCTATTCTCTGTTTTCTACCCGTTGGCCACTCTTCAATCCGTGCTAATATGTTCCCATTAATCCTGTGGGCCTTAACCTTGTGCAATAGCCTTTTGTGTGGCACTTTGTCAAATGCCTTCTTAAAATCTAAATATACTACATCTACTGGTTCCCCCCTCTCTAACCTGCAGATACATCTTCAAAAAACTCTAAAAGATTAGTGAAGCATGACTTCCCTTTTGTAAAGCCATGTTGACTGCCTAATCTTGTTATGGTCTTCCAGGAATCCCATAACGACATCTTTAATTAAGGACTCAATAATTTTCCCTACTACTGATGTCAGACTAACTGGTCTATAGTTCCCCATCTTTTCTCTCCCACCCTTCTTAAATGGTGGTGTTACGTTTGCGATCTTCCAATCAATGGGAACCGTTCCAGAATCCAGAGAATTTTGGAAGATCAAAGACAAGCCATCCACTATCTCAGTAGCCACCTCTTTTAAAAAATGCAAGGATTATTATTATTATTATAGCGCTTTTTACTTCTTTAATATCCACCTGAGTTGGCAGGTAGGATCTCAGTTTAATGTCTCATCTGAAGGACGGCGCCTCTGACAATGCAGCGCTATCCCCAGCACTGCACTGAAGTGTTAGCTTAAACTTTGTGACTTTGTGAGTTTCCCTTCGCCTCGCTTCCTCCCTTGCCTCCTTCAAGGCCGGTCTCAAGACCCTCCTCTTTGATCGTACCTTCAGTCGCCCACCAACCTCTCTGCCTTCCCTCACACCTACCCTCCCCCATGCTCAGGTCCTGACCCCTGACTGTCCAGCGCCTTGGGTCGTCCTCCCGATGTGAAAGGCGCTCTATAAATGTAATTTTGTTGTTGTTGTTGAGTTCAAAATCCCATTGTGAGGCTTGAACCCACAACCTTCTGTCTCAGAAATGAGAGTGCTACTAACTGAGCCAGGCTGACACACAATATAAACAATAGTTGAGTAATTCAAACTAAGCATTACACCTACGTATGACCCAAGCATCAACAGGTAACTAAGAAAATATCCACCTCCAGGTCACACAACCAGATGTTTTTTAATTCAATTGTGCAACTTGTCAAAATTACTTTGATTTAAGATGGGGGGGGGGGAGGTGGTCGAAGGGTTTCTTGTGTTTGGCTCCCAATGGCTTTCTCATCGAATGGGCCAGTCTCAATGCTTACCAGCAGGTGTAGGTTCTCTTAAAGCTGTTATGGTTGGTACGGATGTGTCGTCGAAGGCTGTGGGAGGTGTTGAACGAACGATCACACTGCCGGCAGGGATATCTCTTCATTGACTGGAGAGAGAGAGAGAATAAAATAATTATTGTCTGATCTGGTGGTGGAAACAGATTCCTCTAACCACTGCCTCCAGAAAAGGAGAGAACAAAAAAAATTTGGGAAAGATAAATACAATGTTATAATTGTTATATCTTTGCATTTGATATAGTGCCTTATCATGTCTTATCACATCTTTGAGACGTCTCAAAGTACTTCACAGAATATACTGTAAAGTGAATTGACTGTATATTTTGGGGTGAAACACAGCAGCCAATTGCACACAGCAGCGTCCCACAAACAGTTGTGGATTGAGTGACCATATTAATATTATTATTTTTTTTGGAGGGATTATTATCCCTGGTTATTATCTACTAATCAATTAACAACCGGGTTCCTATTTAACTACTAGGTAAACAGAGGCATGCAAAGAAACCTGCCAAACATTTCGCCCTGAGCTGGGAATCGAACCCAGGTCCTCTCACTTGTGATGCGAGTGCTGTAACCATTGAGCTACAGGACTCCAGCCCAGGTTCCAACTAATTGAAACATTTATGTTTCAACTGGTTGAAATTGCCATCTTATGCAACTAACTTAAACCAAATAAATAAACCTGTGCGATAAAAATTCGCTTTGATACATTCTTGTGTGGCCAAGGAAACTATTTGAATTCAGATCAAATGTTTGAGCGGCAGCGTTGAGTGGAGAGTGGCCGGAGCTGATATCTGTGCAAATCCATCACGGCTGCCAGCGATGAAGACAATGGAGTGACACCACAGGCTAGAGGTTAATTGAATATCTCTTTGAATATCTCTGGATTCCCAGAACCTCACCAATGCCAAGCTCCTGGTTGGATTTGCATTGCGTTGAGATGAGCTTTACATCTGAGCGGCTCAACACCACTCCCCAGGGATTGCTGAGGCGATCCCACCACGAGGCAGCCCCATGTTATACAGTAACTGTCACCACCGGGAGCCAAGTCACCACAACAGTGGAGTCCCGTAGCTCAGTGGTTAGAGCATTCGCTTTGCAAGTGAGAGACCTGAGTTCAATTCCAGGCAGAGGGCGAAACCTTGGGCAAGTTTCCTTACTCCACACAGAGCCTAATAATAATCCCTCCAAAACCCAAAACAATAATAAATTGGTCATTTTCAATCTCGACTGTTTGTGGGACACTGCTGTGCGCAATTGGCTGCCGCGTTCGCCCACAAATATACAGTCAATTCACTTTACAGTGTGTTCTGTGAAGCGCTTTGGGACGTCCTCCCGACGTGAAAAGCGCTATATCAAATGCAAGGATTATTATTATTATTATCCGCTAAGGCTGAGGCCACTGAGGCAGAACCGCGAGGACTGACTCACAGACCGAAGCCAGAAAGCCCAGCAGTTCTTAAAGCGAGAGAAACTGCTGCCAACTATGGAGCAATCATCAATCAAACAATTCACTGGGAGACAGCGAGGCCCTACCCTCAACCAGCAAAGCTTTCATCTTCAACTTATTCTTTACAACTTTTCAAACAGGACCTTCGGGCAGATTGTAAAGCACCGACACATTCCCTTCTGAGAAGCTACAGTTAGTTATTTTGTCCGGGGCCAGGGCAGTTGGGGGCGGTTGGGGGGGTGGATGGTGAATTGGGAGCCTGAGAAAAGCGGAAATGTTGTGCTGTGCTTCAGGCTCCAGTTCCAGCTGCTGAGAACTCACAGACACAGTGTTTCTGTTCACTCGCTCTGCAGTGCACAATTTCCTTGGGGGAGGGGGGGGGGGGGGGGGAGTGAGTGGGAGGCGAGCGAGAGAGAGGGGGAGGGGGAGAGAGAGAGAGGAACAACCAGCCTGATTGGAGACTTGGGAGAAGAAGGCAGATGTCAAAACATTAGGGACTCCCAAAGTGCTGGTAAATTTAACCGGTTAAGAGGCATCAATAAGCTGCTATTTATCCAGTGAGGACCCCTTACTCATTAGGGTTTTGTCTTGCACAGGGAACGCTCGAACAAAACGGTGAGGATTTGCAGTGTGTGGCTATAGAATAAAAAGAATTAGGATTTACCACCAAACACTATAATTGAGGTGTAAACTGGAAGAACAGGATTTCTGAGCCTTGAGAAGAAACTGTAAGGCTGAACTCACACCCTGGAACCATCCTTATCTGTGTGTGTGTGTGTGTGTGGAGGGGAGTGGGGTGTGTGTGTGTGTGGTGTGTGTGTGTATGTGGGTGTGGTGTGTGTGTGTAAAAGCACATTAGGTGGCAGTCGGTGCCTTACTATGAAAAGTTGTTGTTGACTCTTATTTGAACCACATGTTAATTAGCTTAACTTGAGTGGGAAGACTAGTCTCTTGACGACGTGTTTACTCCTCCACATCCCACTGATGAGCCAGACAAGCTGCTTAATCAGCAGTGGCCTGCAGTACAGCGGAGCTGCCTGGCTCAGGGACTGGCTCACTGAGCCCACCTCAGACAAGTGACTCAGCCCCACTTACCCCTTTGCCAGTGTTACCGAGCCAGCTCAGCTCCAGACACCTCACTCTCTCCCCTCCCCGCCCCAGCAAGGTTAGATAAGGTTAATTAACATGTGGTTCTAATAATAAAAATCAACAAAAGGCAGCCTATGAGAGAAGTAAATCAATCTGAAGTTGGCTTTCCATACATAGGAGTCCTGTATCCAATGTAACTCCATGCTCTTTTCATAGTAAGGCACTGAATCTTATCTGGAGTCGGTAACCCAAGGACACAGATTTAAAATAGTTGTTAAAAGAAACAGAAAAGAGGTGAGAAATATTTTTACACAGCGAGTTGTTGGGATTCGGAATGCACTGCCTGAAAGGGTGGGGGAGGCCGATTCGATAACAGCTTTTAAGAGAGAAATAGCTAATTATTTGGGAAGGACAAGTTTGCAGGGTTATGGGGAGAGCGCGGGGGAGTGGGATTGATTTGGAAGCTCTTTTCAAAGAGCCGGCACAGACACGATGGGCTGAATGGCCTCCTTCGATGCTGTACAATTCTATGATCTATGATCTATGTAAGGATTGAGTCAAATGAGTGAGATTAAAGCTCTAGTCTCTAGAAACCCTGTTTTTCCAGTTTCACAATCACTTGAGCTCCTCAATTGGATTGTAGTGTTCAGTTTAAATCCTAATACTCAGTATTCCACAGCCACACAATGCAAATCCTCACCATTTCATTCGAGCAAACAAGACTGCAATCAGTCACTGTGCTATTGACAGTTGTTCAGAATAATTGAAGCACACAAGGGGTTAATGCAATTTCACTAGTCGTTGAGTCCCACTGATTCCCAATTTGCTTGAGCCTTGTATCTCACTCTAGTGAATACCTCAAAGAAACAGAAGCACTGTAACCAAACCAGTCATATAAATAATAATCCTTGCATTTAACATAGCGTTTAATCACATCTTTGAGACGTCTCTTCGAGAAGTGCTTCACAGAATATGCTATAAAGCGAATTGACTGTATTTTGTGGGCGAAATGTGGCAGCCAATTGAGCACAGGAGTGTCCCACAAACAGTCGTGGATTGAGTGACCCCATTTTTTTTAAGGGATTATTATCACAGGAAAAGTGATCCACCAATTGACTAACGACTGGGTTCCTACTTACTGCTAGGTAAACAGAGGCGTGTGGAATAAAGAAACTTTCCTAATGTTCTGCCCTCCCGGGAATCAAACCCAGGTCTTTTCGCTTGCGAAGCGAGTGCTCTAACCACTGAGCTACAGGACTCCACATGTTGGTACAGCACGTGGCATTGCCCTTCAGTGTCTTTGATCGTTGTGCCTCTCCCTGTGTAACTGGCATTTTTCCCCTTTTCCACTTCCCCGCATATTCTTGGTCAGTGGCTTGCAGACTGGTTCTGGGATAGAATTCCCCTGGTTGGGAACACTTACCGAACATGCAACAAGCCTGTTGCAGCACATTAAGCGGGTGTTTCACAGATGCCTCTGTGCGCTGATATTTAGTGCCTCTGATTTGCATTTGGCCTGCATTGTACACGGCTGAAATAAGGCTAACAGAGTGAGGATACCGATCCCTATTAACCCACAAATTAAGCGAGGATAAGCAGAACTCTCAGGGATCTACAAAGCAATAATCCTATCAAGGGTTGCACAGTGCGTCTCATACCAAAAGAATGAAGAGTTAGTACTTAATAATTACCCCTTTCACCCCATATTAGACTAATATATTAAAATGGAATACATCGTGGAATAAATGTCACTTCAAGTTATGGGTTTAAGATTATTCTTTTTTTAAAAACTGTTATTATGGTTTGAATGGGGCCTGGAAGACCTTTGGTTTGAAAAAAATCCTTGCATTTGGTCTAGCAGCTTTCACGTCGGAAGGCGGTCTCAAAGAGCTTCACAGTTTTTGAATATGATCAGATATGAAGATTGACAAGTAATAATAATAATAATCCTTGCATTTGGTATAGCGCCTTATCCCCCACGTCTTTGAGACGTCTCAAAGAGCTTCACAGAAAATACTGTAAAATGAATTGACTGTATATTTTATGTAAGTAAGCATTGACAAAGGACACACGGTAGGGTATATGGTGTGTTTGTTGAACCTTTGTCTTCACCAACATGAGGGAGATCTGCGAAAGTGTTAGAGAACAGAACATTTATCACCATGTATCCATGGGCCAGACATTGTACAGGTTAGAGGCAGGGTAACTGGAATAATACAGTTCTGAGAGGCTTGAGAGTTAGAGACAGAATGTTCTAGGTTTGAATTCCAATAGATCCATCCTTTTCCTTTTGTCAAAACAAGTCCCATGCCAAAAAAATTCTCCACGGGAGATAGGAATGTGGAGGGTCCAAGGCGATTAACCAGGAATGGGGAGACACCTGGCTTGTACACAATAATTCAAGAGGAACTTGTGGTATAGACATGTACCGAGTGAGGGACAGGCCAGTGCAAGATTGATAAATGCCATTGATCCAGAATACAACGTAAGAAATCTTCAGAGCAGGAAATTTGATTCAATAAGCCAGTCCCTTTCCATTCTCAACTCCACCTACTTGTCTTCTCATCAACATCCTTCAATCCTTCCTTTGCAAAACACATTAAGTTGGCTCTCAAACTATATACTCAAAATCTAAAGTGGAGAGTTGGGTGGGGGGAGAGGGTGGAAGAGGAGAAAAGCTGTTTGCAATCAATGGATCTTCACAATTAGGTTTTTAAAAGCTATAGTGCTGCTGCGACTCCGTCTTTAACAACAAAAGCAAAATGTATAAACATTGGGATTTTAGCAAAAAAAAGATTATTATTGAGGATTATAGGATCATGTGGGTGGGGCTTGCAGGACAATGTGCCGAGAGCATATTCATTGTGTTTTTTAAAGTAATCTCTGAAATGCTCTCCCCTAAATAGGAGGTAGAGTCTGAAATGAAGCCAGTGTAGGACTGGAAGGATTAAGTCTTGTTAAACCACAGGAATCTCTTTGTAAATTCAAGGCATTTTAGACGCACTGTATGTGTGCCCAATAATTCTTGTGAAACTACCTGTGATTTGCAGGGCTGGCAGGCAAGGAGGAAGAGTGTTTTAAAACAAGAGGGGATTGTAATGGGATTGTAGGAGGCTTGGCTGCTGGCTGTGTCTAGTTATTCTAACAGGGCAGTAAAAGATCTGAAGAAGAATTGCAGGTTCTTAACCCTGCAGAGGCTGAAGGGGGTAAATTCAGAACAAATATGTGCTTGAGTGAGCGAGTAGGAAACTTATGGAACAGGCTCCCTAGGGAGATAGACGGTGGAAGCAGAAAATGTTGTTTGTTTCAAGAACAAATGAGATCGATTTCTGCTTGAAAATAATATCTGGGGATACAGTGTACAGTTTGGGACATGACATGTCAGTGACTGCCAGGATGATGGAGGGGAACTAGATGGACCTTGGTCTTCTTTCTGTTCTTAATCACAGAGAGGCAGTAATTACCTTGCCATGGGTTCTCTTCATGTGAGAGACGTAGAGTTCTCGATCCGGAAGCCACTGTAAGCACTCTCCACATGTCCAGCCGGGATTCTTGCCCCTCACTCTGGGCTCAGAGCTGCAGAGGCTGGTGCTCGGGGTGTTGGAGGCGACACCGTTGGAGGTGCTGTAGGTGGAGGATGGTTTGGGGACTCGACTGCTGGAAGCCTCCCTGGACGGAAGCCAGAAGTTTGGCAAATCTTCCATGTTCTGCCCAACACCGTGGACGTCCTGTTCACAACACAAAGGGTGACATTTGTAAGAAGCAATGACCAATAATAATAATAATCCTTGCATTTGATATAGCGCTTAATCACATCCTTGAGACGTGTCAAAGCGCTTCACAGGATTTACCGTAAAGTGAATTGACTGTATTTTGTGGGCGAAACACGGCACAGCAGCGTCCCACAAACAGTCATGTATTGAGTGACTAAATTATTTTGTAGGAATAAGTAGGAACCCATTTGTTAGTCGAAAGGCGGATCGATTTCTGGATGTAATAATCCCTTTAAAAAAATAAATATTCTTGTCACTCAATCCATGACTGTTTGTAATATCTGGGGATGCAGTATATAGTTTGGGACACTGAAACACATTGAAACACTGCTGTCATTTCTCCCACAAATACACAGTCAATCCACTTTACAGTATATCCTGTGAAGCTTTTTGAGACGTCTCACCGACGTGATAAGCTGCTATATCAAACACAATTATTATTAATAATAAATGAAAACTGTGATGGCAAGATTGCTGTCGATGCATTGAGCCTACCTTGAAGTGCTCCATCATCAGCTGTTTGTGCAAGTACAGGGATTGGCATACAGGACACTTGTACACACACACAATCAGCTTGTTTTTGTGCTGGTCGAAGTGCTTGTGTAGCATCGCTCGCTGGTTGAAGACGGTTTCACACATAGAGCACTTGAAGATGACTCTGTAATGGAAGAAGCAGCTTGTGTTGGCATTGCAGCCCACTGGCACTTAATCAGCTCATGTAACAGGGCATGTCTCGTCACTCTCACATTGTACAGGGTGTCCACAAAGTCCTGTTACCCCATGTGTTTTTTTTTCCTACAGAATTGGCCAACAATTTTCAAACATGTGTAAGAATGATGATAACTGTATTTAGAAGTTACTTCATTCTATTCAGTACAAATGTTTAACTGTATTTAGCCGTCCAGAGGATGTGTGTGTGTGCGTGAGTGTGTGAGCGCCAGCATTTTCATAGCAGATAATCATCCGTTGCCATGTTCAGTGCCACATCTTCTGCAACATGGAGTCAGTGAGGAGAAGAAATGTATCTCTGACAGCTAGCTTCAGCTCCATAGTCTTCATACCACTATTTGGTATGTAACAGGGGGTAACAGGACTTTGTGGACACCCTGTAGAGCATGTTAAATATAAATTGGCTAGCAAGAGTATTTAAAGGGCAGACAGAAAAGGAGTAAATAGGATTAAAAGATCTAACAAACTGGCGGGCTTGGTGGAACAAGTATCCTGTTCCCAATTAAAGAAACATTAAAGATAAAGCTGCTAAATGCCTGCCTGCCAGCCAGCATTTGTCAGAAGTATACAGTACATACCCCCATACCAACTAAACACACAAGCAATCAAAGGTAGGCAAGTACATGGGAAAGTGACAAGACAGTAAGCTTTCCCATCCTGACTTCAAGAAAATGTGAGTCATTTCACCTTTCGTCCAACTCTTGGTGATTTATTATTCACCTTATAACAAAATCAGGATGTGTGTGTGTATTTCTGACAAGCAACACTCCAGAATAAAAGCACTGCAGGCGTGCACTGACTGACTGACACATTCACTGACTGACTGAATCACTCACTCCCTGAGCACGCTTGCCAAAATCCATCTGACATTATCTGTGTTTTTCCAATGAAAAGCAACACTTGGAAGGGGTGAAGATCTGTTGAATGAATTGAGTGACACTTGTAGTGAGCAGCCAGCACCGCAAAAGGTGACTTATTATTATTAGTAATAATAATAATCTTTAACGTTTGATACAGCGCCTTCTGAGACGTCTCAAAATGCTTCACAGCTAACTATAAAGTGAATTGACTGTATATCCTGTGGACTAAATGTGGCAGCCAACTGCACACAGCAGTGCCCCACAAACAGTTGTGCATTGAGTGACCAAATTATTATTATTATTATTATTCTTTGGAGGGATTATTACCCCCGGAAAGCAATCTGCCAATCGACTAACAACCGGGTTCCTACTTTACTGATGGATAAACAGAGGCGTGTGGAGTAAGGAAACTTGCCTAAGGTATCGCCCTGCCCGTCCTCATCTCCCTGGAACTGATGACAGATGCCAAAGCCAAACATGAATATTCTAGCAAATAGTTTTCTGATAAATCATTGTGGAGTCAGTGCTGAGATAGAGGCACAACTGGTCGCAGAGCCCAGCTAAGCAGACAAAAANTAACTTAGCCAGGGCTCTCGATGATTATTATTCAGCGTGAGTCTTGTTGGAAAAGGCCCTTATGAGCAGTGGAGAGCAGGACATAATTGGACTTCTCTGTTGGCCAAGATTTAGGATGTGTGTCTCCCCCCCCACTCCACACGTTCACATTAAATGGCAGAGCTCACAGTCTGAGCTCATGCAAGATTAGCAGGAGGTAGTGAATGGTGCCAGATACCCCACTGAATGTAACTTTGCAATCCTGTAGCTCAGTGGTTAGAACACTCGCCTCGCAAGTGAGAGACCTGGGTTCGATTCCCAGCAGGGTGAAATGTTGGGCAAGTTTCCTTACTCCACATATCTCTGTTTACCTAGCAGTAAGTAGGAACACGGTTGTTAGTCGATTGGTGGATCACTTTTCCAGGGATAATAATTCTTTCAAACATAATAATGTTTATAAGTGATAATAATAATGGTCACTCATTCTATGGGTTTGTGGGACACTGCTGTGCGCAATTAGCTGCTGCTTTTCGCACACAATAGAATCACTACAATTTATTATGTGAAGCGCTTTGAGACGGGTCAAAGATGTGATAAGGCGCTATATCAAATGAAAGGATTATTATTTAACTAGAAAGGAAGGGGAGCAAATGGTGACAATATTGACTGCACAGGACACAGATTTTGTAGGCTTAACCTCTTTGAAGAGAACACAGGGGTAAACGGTAAATAAGAACGAAATTGGCACAAGAAGGAAGCTATTGTGTGAATGGAAAATTCAAAAGTGATTTGATTTCCTTTTAAAAATAATAGTTTAGCACTGCTGAAACCTGCAAACCAGGCTAGATGCGAGCATCAAGAGGGGCTTGCCACGCGCAGGTAATGAAACGCCATCATTTTCCATAGAAACGCCCGTTTGTGTTTAATACAAGAAGATTAAAGGCAGGGAGAGAGTTACACAGTAAGAGATCCCGTTACTGATTTCTTTTCCTGGCTGGATAGCACGTCAAATGTAATCTGAAGATTTTCCAACTCCCAAACGGCTCTTTACTTGTACACAACCTAAAGTACTGTATTAAGAGGCTGGACGGATAGACTGGCAATCATTTTAATGATCTGGATGACATTTCTATCAAACTAATCCTGCTTCTCAAGGTCCTAGTTTGCATTATTTTCCAACATGAGGTTTAACGTGAGGACAGAGCACAAAACACACACTCATTTTATTCGCATCACTCTGTGTGGATACGAACTACAAGACAAATGGACATTATTCCATCTTTGACAGGCTCCGGCCTTCTGCATGTCCCTCGTGCCCTCTGTTCTACCATTGGTGGCCACGCTTTCAGACACTACACTCCGAAACTCTAGAACGCTCTTCCTCTATCCCTCTGCCTTGCCCCTTCCTTCTCCATCTTCATGTTGTTTCTGAAGGTCAACCCTCCCCCTCCCCCCAGCTCAGCGTCGTACTCCACCACTGTCAAGCACTCTGAGATGCTACCCTCCGTGAGGGGCGCTGTGTAAATGCAAGTTGTTGTTATTGATCTCCAAAGTTTGCCCTCCCGGACCACACCAACAGCTCCTAATGGCATCACATCTTGAGGCTTCAGACCTTTGTGTGGATCTTGCTTTAACTGCAGGTTTGATGGTGGATTGAAACTGAGAATATGAACCAAGAAGCCAGAATGCCTAATTACAATGATTCCAATTAGTGTCCCTACCACACAGGCCATCAGGTTAGGTCAGTTAGTCAGCACCAGTTCCAATGAATGGTTGAGACTGTATTGAAGTGAACATTCTTTTTTTGTTGTACAAAAATCGAATGACAAAAAGCTTTGATTTTGCTGAATAAACAGCGATTAAGCAACAAGAACAACTTGGGTTTATATAGCACCCTTCACCCAGGGTAGCGTCTCAGAGCACAGTGTCCACTTTGTCTGTGCTCCTCACAACAACCCCGTGTAAATGGGAGTTCCTTCCATTCCCTCCTCCCCGATCGGCTGCTCTGTGTCAGGCAACAACCATCCAGCGATAGAATAATAACCGAACAAGCCTTGAGGGACAACCATAGAAATGGTCTCAGGCACTGTACTTTAGAAGATCGTTTTCTTTAATTGTTAAAAAACAGATTCAGATTTAAGACTGAATTTAAGAATTTTCCACAATTCTACACAATCTTTTCAATATTAAACCAAAACTTATAATAATAATCCTTGCATTTGATACAGTGCCTTATCACGTCGATGAGACGTCTCAAAGCGCTTCACAGAATATACTGTAAAGTGGTTTGAATGTGTATTTTGTGGGCGAAATGCAGCAGCCAATTGCGCACAGCAGCTTCCCACAAACAATTGGGGAATGAGGGACCAAATATTTTTTGGGGGAGGGATTATTACTCCAGGAAAGCAATCTGCCAATCCAGTAACAACTGGGTTCCCACAAAAACAAGGAGGCCATTCAGCCCCTTGAGCCTGTTCCACCATTCTATAATTCATAGCTGATCTGTACCTCAACTCTAATTACCCGCCCTTGCCCCATATCCCTTGATACCCTGACCTAACAAATATCTATCCACCTCAGTCATGACAATGTGAATGGATCCAGCCATAATCCACAGCATTTTGGGGGAGAGAGTTCAAGATTTCCATAGCCCTTTAAGACCCAGATCCCTATCGATTACCATTGGGAGCTCACAACAGACAACAGACCACAGGTAATGACAATTATACATTGTCAATTCAATACTTTTTCATGTGTGTTTCATAGTGTTTAATCAACCAGTTGTGTAAGTCAGACATGTGAAAGCAGCAGGGTAAAAGTAGCATATTACACTTCATGAAGCAAATGACTAAAGCACACTAGTGCAATCAACACCAACTGGTTCTGTTCCTTGGCCAGTTGATGGTCTGCCCAAGATGACAGATCATTTCCACAATGTCACGGCACTTGTTTCCATCCCAAAGCTGTAAAGGAGCAGCGGATGTTTAGAGATTCAGCTGTTTTTGACATAAACACACACATGAGGAGGTGATGGACTTACTGTGCTGCGCGGTTTCTAACCAAAGGATGCTGGTTGGCGTAATGTGAGTTGGCGCTTTGAGGTGTCTTGAAGGCCATAGGACACACTGTGCACTTATGGAAATATTCGCAATGGCTGACTTGGATGTGAGTCTTGAGCGTGCTCAGGTCGTTAAAGATGACCCGACAGTAGATACACCTGCGTCAGGAGAGAAACAAAAACAGCTGTGTCAAGCGTTCAAACATTTCACTGCCCTCGTTTGTGTGAGCCTATATTTTGGTTTGAAAATTGACCCAGATTTCCTTCTGTAGCTTGGGACAACAACATTCCTCAATACACTCGCCTCGTATGTAGATTTGTGCTTATAGAATAGAATCATAGAATATTACAGCACAGAAGGAGGCCATTCAGCCCATCGTGCCTTTGTCGGCTCTTTGGAAGACCTACCCAATCAGTACCACTCCCCCTCTTTCTTCATATCCTTGCAAATTTTTCCTCCAATTCCCTTTCGAAAGTTGTTATTGAATCTGTTTCCACCCTTTCAGGCAGTGCATTCCAGACCGCAACTTGTGGGACGACCTGACAAGGTGAATTGCCAATCTCAGCTATGTTGTGAGGAGGCAGTGTCAAGCACAATGAAGTGCCAGATTGGCTCAGTTAGTAGGACTCTCGCCTCCAGGTCACAAGATGTGTATCTAAGCCATTGGGACTTGAGCTAAGACTGACACTCGAGTGCAGCACTGAGTTGTCAATCTTTAGCTAGATGTTAAACCGGGTCATCTCCTCCTGATCTGGGGGGCATTGAAGATTCCATGGCATTACCAAAAAGAAAGGAAAGGCATTTCTCTAGTCCTGGCCAACAATCGTTCAAGTTAATTGGTTGTTTGTTTTGTGTCCGCTTGTGGGAGCTTACTGGCACAGATGAAAAGTTGGCTTGTTTGCTTTCAAAAACTAAACTATCAAGTCACTACACTATAGTAAGTTTTGAGAGCTTTCAATTTGATAAAAATGCAGGGACTTTCAGTTGGGGTGAGGGGAGTTTAAAATGAACTGTAGCAAAGATTGAGTTTTCACACTCAGCTCACAGCGCTCCGTATTCAAAGAAGGTCATTAGCATTATGTGACCAGACCCCAGTTCATCGTTTGACTATTTCCCCAGGTGTAAAGATACAATCACTACAATACTTTACATGCCTGATATCCACATCCTTGAAGAGACAAGAGATTTGGATCCTGCTCAACAGGTGGAAACCTTGTATGTACCATTTAAACTGTAAAAGCAGAAAAACTGCAAAAAAGACATTTCATGGGATAATATTCTCTATCTGCTTAACATTTTTTGCAACCCAGAATTAATTAATCAGCATACTCTTCAAATGCGACAACACAGCCTCGATTTATACTAAGCTTGGAATGATGCCCGTTTATCCAGTTTCTAATGACATACATGAATTTTACCAAACTTCAAGCACTGGCACTAAAAATATATTTTATATCACACATGCTTTGAACTTTCGTTCAGGTAAAATCGTTTTATCTGAGAAACAATCTGACAGGCAGCGATAGAGAGAGAGAGAGAGACAGATAGATAGACATGTTAAAGAGTGTGAGCAACGTTTAACAGAAAAAACACAAAAGCGGTTTCAAAAACACAAATAGACAGGCAGCAACTGGAGTGAGGAGAATGAGATCAAAAGGAGCAAGATCAAGATGATAGGTAAAGACAGAAAGCGCTCAAGACAAAGCGATACAGAGATTAAGTACCCGCCTGAGATTCAGAGAAAGTGCTTGTGAAAGAGTGTAAAGATGCAAAACGAGAAGGTTTTCAGAAACTCAGAATTTCTGAACAAAGGTACAGTAGTGCATTTGCAAACCAGAGCGGCAGTAAAATGTACTTCCTGGGATAGAATCTGAATCATATTGAAATAGGATAGGCGTGTGCGATTTTTAAAAACATAATAAAGGTCTGCGTTTTCTAAAAGCAAACATGCAAACTGCTGCAGCTCCCGCAGAATGTGCCATGGGCGTTCTCATTCAATTTCCCACCTTATGCAACCTGCACTTCATAAGCAGTTTGCTCACTATCGCACCTCTTTCACTGTCCGCTCCCTCCGTTCAGCAGGCTCTGGCCTGCTCCACATCCCCCATCTGACCTGCCCCACCATCGGTGCTGGGGCCTTCAGCCTTTCTGCCCCCGCCCTCTGGAGCTCCATCCCACAGTCCCTTCGCCTCGCTTCTTCCCTCGTCCCTTCAAGGTACACCTCAAGACCCTCCTCTTTGACCATCCTACCCTCCACCATCCCTTAATCCCTCCACCCCGCCCGGGTCCAAATCCTTGACTGTCCAGCAACTTGGGACGTCCTCCCAATGTGAAAAGCGCTGTGTAAATGTAATTCTGTATTCTTGTATTGCATGTGACCTGGGGGAACAGCACTGAAAGACTGCAGAAAAGCGACATCCTCTCCAAATAGAAGGAAAAGTTCAAAAAAAGAGTCATTCTGAAATAATATCCTGAGCGCCCTGAAACCATCAATTCTACCTGGTCTCAGGCACTGTACTTTAGAAGATCGTTTTCTTTAATTGTTAAAAAACAGATTCAGATTTAAGACTGAATTTAAGAATTTTCTACAATTCTACACAATCTTTTCAATATTAAACCAAAACTTATAATAATAATCCTTGCAATTGATACAGTGCCTTATCACGTCGATGAGACGTCTCAAAGCGCTTCACAGAATATACTGTAAAGTGGTTTGAATGTGTATTTTGTGGGCGAAACGCAGCAGCCAATTGCGCACAGCAGCTTCCCACAAACAATTGGGGAATGAGGGACCAAATATTTTTGGGGGGAGGGATTATTACTCCAGGAAAGCAATCTGCCAATCCAGTAACAACTGGGTTCCCACAAAATACACAGTCACTCCACTTTACAGTATATTCTATGAAACTCTTTGAGATGTCTCATCACCGTGCTAAGGCGCTATATCAAATGCAAGGATTATTATTATTATTGCTAGGTAAACAGAGGCGTGTGCGTGGAATAAGGAAACGTGCCTAAGTTTTCGCCCTGGAATTGAACCCGGGTCCTATTGCTTATAGGCTAAGAGCAGGTGGAATTTGGGTCTCTGATGGGCTAGTACGTAAAGACATAACGTTTCACAAGCTTATAAGTTACCCCATTATGGATGAGATCCAGGAGGCCCCTTTCATACCAACCTATAGGCTACTGTCCGTGCATAGTGCAAGCAGTTATTCTTCACGTGGGTTTGGAAGTAAGCTGAGCGGCACACTGACCCACACTCCGGACAGCAGTAAGGGGACTTGTGAGTATGGATTCGCAGATGAGCAGTGTAACTGCATTTATTGGGCAGCATCATCTGGCAGATCCGACAAGTCTTTGAAAGAAAAAAGAAAAAAAGTTTAATTCAAATATTTTTCCCACGAATATATGACGCTTTTACAGACTGCCTCATTCCATCCCCAAACTAAACGGCTCATTTGAAGTCTTGTTTCCTTAAACGTTCACTGCTTTAAGTTGTTAAGCTTCCAACACATATGTTCAGGAAGTACGGAAGAACCCAAGCTAAACATGGTTTACTTTAATGTGGATCTGCTTATTGGGGTTGGCTGTGTGACCCTGACATTTACTTACCCATCAGTACTTCAATACCACCACCAATAATTTGCTTTTATACAAAACAAAATTATATTTCTAAAGCGCTTTTCGCATCGGGAGGACGTCAAAGGCGTTGGACAGTCAGGGATTTGGAACTGAGTTAAGGGAAGGAATAGTCCAGAAAATTCTTTACAAGATCTTCAGGAATCCTCATCGATCACAGAAGGAAAGTGTATTTAAAAACATGTGCCTGGTCTGTATGGTTCTTTGATGAATGATTCAGCAAATTTTGGGGGATTAGGGCACTGAGCTAATTGTAATATTAAAACAAAAATTGCTGGGAAACACTCAGCAGGTCACAACTGGTTGCCGTATTTCGCCCACAAAATATACAGTCAATTCACTTTACAGTGTATTCTATGAAGCGCTTTGAGATGTCTGAAAGAATCAATAAGGCGCTATATCAAATGCAAGGATTATTATTATTATTTATATTGGGGAGCGATTGATATGTACTCTGGAGAATGTGAAATTAATGTTAAAACAATTGTGAAATACAATCAGTGTAACATTTAGTCCCCTCACCTCCCCATAAAAATAGATAATTAGAAGTTAAAATAAAAGCAACTGAATGTTGTAGACAATTTGATTGCAGGCATCACAATATAACAGAGCTGTTCCTCATGTTCTTCTCCTTTTGCGAACAAGAACATGAATAGACTGCTATTTTTAGCAACTAGTGCTGGAGATCTGAGCAAGCAGTGGAAGTAATTTAACAGACAGACACATACAGATAGTGGGCACTGGTTACAGGCTCCATATTCCATCGAATATCACCTGGGAAGTCCTCTGGTCTTCAAACTGACATTGGGGCAGAATTGGGGAGAATCCTTCAACTCAGTCTCAATTTGGAAGCTAATTTTTTTTTTGCAGTTTTTAAAAAAGGGACTATAATAATATTATTGCGTGAGGGGCACTATATAAATGCAACTTGTTGTTGTAGACAAATACCTTGAAAAAGAGGTGTGGGGAAAGGGCAGGTAAATGGGACTGAAAGCATTGTTCTTTAGGGAGCCAACACAGACACGTAAGCATTCTTCTTGCTGTACATTTCTATGGTTTACTGAACAAAAGGGAAATGGAAGTTTTATTCCAAGTGGGGGGAACGGGACAAACAGTCCTTTTTACTTCAAATCCAGCACAATTTGTTAAAGTGAACGCAACCTTGTTGACAGATGTGAGGGTTCAATCTGAAACTCTGCAGCTCGTGTACTGTCCTGCACCAGGCTTCGTGACCACATCACTCCCACCCTCGCTCGCCTCCACTGGCTCCCCATCCCTCAGAGGATTGATTTCAAGATCCTCATCCACACCTACAAGGTCATTCATGGCCTCGCTCCCCCCTACCTCTCCGACCTACTATCCCCCTACTTACCTGCCCATACCCTCCGTTCCTCTGGCTCCGGTCTGCTCCACATCCCCCGCCCTAACCGCCCTACCATCGGTGGCCTTCAGCCTCTCAGCCCCGAGGCTCTGGAACTCCATCCCCCAGTGCCTTCACCGCTTCCTCCCTTTCCTCCTTCAAGGCCGGTCTCAAGACCATTCTCTTTGACCGTGCCTTCAGCTCCCCTCTCGACTCTCTACCCCCTCCTCGCCCCCTCCCTTCCATCCCCTCACCCTGACCGTCCTGACCCAACTGTTCAGCGCCTTGGGACGTGCTCCCGACGTGAAAGGCGCTCTATAAATGGAATCTTGTTGTTGTTGTTGAAGTGAATTTGCGATGAATTAAATGGAGTACATATAGCCTGCCACTCATTGGCAGGATTACTGAGGGAGTTGCGGACTTATCCTGGAAATGAAAGTGCCATCTATATCAGTGCAATATGGACCAATTTGGGATTAAGCTTGGTGTTAATATAATAAAAACATAGAAATCTATAGTGCAGCCTGTCGGGTCTACACTGAGCCACAGAGCAAGAGATCAATTCAATCCCCCCTCTGCCTAATCCCCACACCCTTCAAGCCCCCTCTCCTTCACATGCCTATCCGCTTCCCTTTTGAAAGCTACAATGGATTCCATCTCCCCCACCCTAATCAGCAGGGTGTTCCACATCCTAACTATTCTCTGGGTGAAATCATTCTAACTTCTCCTTTCGCTGCTCTTGTGGCTATCTTTAACTAAGCCCCTAAGTCACCGACTTCCCTAGCAATGGAAATAACTTCCCTCTATTTACTCCATTAAACCCCTCATAATTGTGTCTACCTCAATCAAGTCCCCCTCAGCTTTCTCTGCTTCTTATGAAACAAGTCCAGATTCTCCAATCTCTCCTCAAAATTGTAGCCCTTCATCCTCGCAATCATTCTCGTAAACCTCCTCCTCACTCCCTCTAAAGCCTTAACATCTTTCCTGAAGAGAGCTGCTGAAAACTAGATGCAGTACACCAGTTACAGCTGAACCAATTATTTGTACAAACTTAGCACTATTGCTGTATTTTTTCTAGTCTATTCCATGTATAAAACCCAGCATTTTATTAACTTATTTTCCAGCTGTTGCGACTTGGATGCCACTTTTAATGACTAATGTTACCTGTGTTCCCAAATCCCTTTGCTCCTGGCCAGTAGGCTCCCTTCCCTCGTTTTTTTCTACCAATATGAATCACCTCAAATAAGAGAATTTTAGCCTCAATCTATCCTGACCTTAGATTGTGCTCAGTGCTGTATATGAACAAGCACATACACATGTCTGTTCTCTCTCTCTCAAGCTTGTGTGTACACGTCTGTCTTTTAGAAAAGATGTTAAACCAGGTCTCTTCAAATGGGTATTAAAGCTTTCATGACACTATTCAAAAAGAAAACGGCATTTTTCATGGTGTTCTCATCAAGTTTACACTGGACTTCTTATGAATAGCTCAAACATCGTGATACCCAATTGGTCATTCACTTCATAGTTGTTTTACGGACATTATAGTGTGCAAATCTGGGTGTTTCGTTTGCCAACAAATATACAGTCACCAAATGAGACAGCAGTCATATATGAAGCGCTTTGCATGATGTTTATATAGACATTATATCAAATGCAAGGATTATCATCTGTCACTGATGTGTGATTGTTCACTCAAAGAACCTTTGCTCATTGAATGTGTATACTGTACCAGCACACAACGCACAGTGTATGGGTTAAAGGAGCTGCTAACAACTGAATGAGCAGCTATTGATTCTAGCAGTAGGAAGAGCTACATCATCAGTAAGATGAAATCATTAACCCAGGGCTACATTGACGATGCTTGCATTTGATAAAACAACTTATCTAAAAAAAAATTTCAAAGAGCTTCACATAGTTTTCTGTAAAGTGTAATGACTTGGATTTAACAACAATAATAATCATCCTTGCATATGACATAGCGCTTTATAGAGACGTTATCGTGGGGTACTTAGAAAATCATTACAAGAGTCAACATGGCTTTACGAAAGGGACATCATGTTTAACAAATCTTATAGAGTTTTTTGAGGATGTAACTAGCAGGTTAGATAGGGGTAACCAGTAGTTGTGGTTATTTGGATTTCCAGAAGGTATTCGACAAAGTGCCACATAAAAGGCTATTGCATAAAATTAGAGCCCATGGAATTAAAGGTAATATATTAGCATGGATTGGAGAGTGGCGAACAGGAAGAAAATAGAGAGTAGGGATAAACGGGTCCTTCTCAAGATGTGATTAGTGGAGTGCCACAAGGATCAGTGCTTGGGCCTCAATTATTTACAGTCTATATCAATGATTTAGGTGAGGAAATAGAACTTAACATATCTAAATTCGCAGACGATACGAAGATAGGTGGGGGAGTAAGCTGTGAGGACGACACACAAAGAATGCAAAGGGAAATAGACAGGCTAGGTGAGTGGGCAAGAAGGTGGCAGATGGAGTATACTGTGGGGAAGTGTGAAGTTATTCACCTAGGTAGTAAAAATAGAAACGCAGATTATTTTCTAGAGGGGGAGACCAGGTTGTGTTAGTGTTCAGAGAGATTTAGGTGTCCTTGTAAACCAGTCACAAAAAGTTACTATGCAGGTACAGCAAGTAACTAGGAAAGCTAATGCCATGTTGGCGTTTGTTGCAAAAGGGCTAGAGTACAAGAGTAGGGAAGTCTTGCTGCAGTTGTATAAGGCCTTGGTGAGACCGCACCATGAATATTGTGTTTGGTCTCCTTATTTAAGAAAGGACATACTCGCCTTAGAGGGAGTGCAGCGTAGATTCACTAGGTTGGTTCCTGGGATAATGGGGTTTCGCCTTTGAGGATAGGTTGAGTATTAAGCTAGGCCTATATTCTCTAGAATATAGAAGAATTAGAGGTGATTTTATAGAAACAAATGAGATTCTTAAGGGTCTTGACATGGTACATGCCATGAGACTGTTTCCCCGTTGGAGAATCTAAAACTAGGGGTCATTGTCTCAAGATTAAGGGTCAGCCTTTTCGAACTTAAGTTGAGAAAACATTTCTTCACTCTGAGGGGAGTTTTTTTTAGAATTCTCTACCCCAGAGGCTGTGGATGTTCAGTTCTTGAACATATTCAAGACTGAGGTTGATAGATTTCTAAAGGATAGAGGGATTAAGGGATATGGGGATAGGGCGGGTAAATGGAATTGGTTAGAAGATCAGCCATGATCCTATTAAATGGTGGGGCAGGCTCGAGGGGCCAAATGGCCTACTCCTGCTCCCATATCTTATGGTCTTTATCATGTTGTTGAAACGTCTCAAAGTGTTTTACAGCATATATTGTAAAGA